CTTGGGGTTGCTTTTAGGGTTTAGGGTTTAGGGTTTAGGGATTAGGGTTTAGGGTCTTAAGGAACTTCCATAATGGGGATATACAGCAAATAATAGGGCTTCCTTATGATATATTGAGGAACTTCCATAATGGGAGTGTCCATGTTATATAGTAATTGTATTTAAGTTCCTTAACAGCAACCCAGGAGATTGTGGATTATGCGGCGCGGTCTGGTGATGTAGCCGTATTGCGAATGATGTTGGAAGGAGGGGCAGACAAAGATCTGCCAGACGAAGAGGGTGCGACAGCTCTCATCATGTCATCCCAGGAAGGCCACAAGGAGATCGTTCGGTTGCTGCTGAAAAACCGGGCAGATCCACTGTTGACGGACGATTGCGAGCGAACCGCTCTTATGCATGCAGCGGCTGCTGGCCACTCAGACATTGCTCTCTGGCTTTTGCAGGCAAGAGCAGACACTAACATGACGGACGAGGACGACGCAACAGCTCTCATGTTTGCTGCTTCAAGAGGGGAGAACGATATTCTATGTGATTTGTTGATTGCAAAAGCTGGCATGGAGTTTGTCGACAAGAACGGCGAAACAGCTCTCTGCTCTGCAGCCCGCAAGGGACACACTACAGCCGTGGAGTGCCTGTTGGTGTCCAGAGCGAATGTGGATCACAGAGATGTCAAGGGCTTCACGGCTCTCCAGCATGCAGCTCAGTTTCTAGGCAGGTTGTTGGGACATTGTGTATTTTGATTTTGCAACCCTAATCATAGGGCTTTGGTCCTAACGCAACAATCCTAACTTGCTTACGATCATTGTCAGAGTCTTCAAGGTGCGAACTTGCAGGTCGTTTGCTGTTAGTTGTAATTTCCCTCAGGGATTTGTTGGAGTAGTCTTTTCGTGGTATCTATCCATTGGCAGGGCCCTCAAAACATAACCCATAAGAGTGGTCTTAAACCCGAGGCCCTAAACAACCCAGGTCAGGCTACCATGAGATTGTGCAATTGCTGCTCGTCGCAGGAGCTGACAAGGAGATAGTCGTAACCGAGAGCGTTTCTCAGGTTCTTCAAGTTGAACAGACAAGACATTCGACTTGAGATCTGCGAAAAGGGCAAATGTCGAGGTCACGGACATAGACCGAGTAATTGGTGATTCAAAGGCGACGCTTAGATCCCAACGTTGTGGAGCATAGCTTCCATCATGATGACCAGGAGCCCACTGTAGCTCAAGACCTAGATTGCCCCTACACCCTAAGCCTCCCGAAACCCCAAACAGTAAACCCCTAAAC